GGTCGGACTGGATGATCTGTCTAGGTCCCTTCCGACTCATTGATTCTATGATTCTATGACATCAACCTCTTCTCTTTTGTCCAGGTGATGTGTCACCTCATCATAAAAGGAAGTGAAGTTAACCAGGCAAGGACCTACCCACAACAAAGCCATGTTAGCTCTCTCTTACAATGTTGCTTTCCATTAACCTGTTGTTGATGGTTTCTTTGATGATTTTTTCCAAGATCTTTCCAGGAACTGAGGTCAAACTGATTGGCCTGTAGTTCCGTGGATTTTCCTTGCTTCAAGACAGACAACAGATTGGCCCTCTTCCAATTTTCAGGAAGAAATTAATTCCCCAAGGCACTGCTAGGACTTGAACCCAGGATCTCCTGTTTACTAGGCAAATGCTTTAACCAACTAAACCACAGTGCCTTTTTAGAAGCTAGCTTACCCATATTTTTCATAAATGTATTTTGTAGTCGTCTTTGCTTCCTGGCATTGCCTAGGGTGATAAGCATGAAAATGATGGGCAAAATCAATTAATAGGACCCAAGAGGACCAAATCCATCAGAATTTTGGACTTTCTCTCCTGATCCCATTCTGTGTTGGGCTCTTTTTCTACACTTATCGGCTCCAAAGATGGCCTCTTATAGTCTTCCTACTGGTAAGCCCCTTGTTGTTCCTATCAGAAGAGGAAGTCCTGCTTAATTCCTGGCAGGAATTAATTGTACTGTTTGTGGAGCCTTTTACTCAACTCTTTCTTAGTACCCCATAACTTCAAATCTTATGCTTTTAAAAAATATTGACTTCCCTTTCATTTGCATCATGGTTTAAGTTTTTACATTGCTCTGGGATCATGTGTTTAAGCTTTTCTCCACAACTGGGAGAGCTAGAAAAACTTGCTCTGGTCTTTCAGGTTTCTTCAGTCTCTACCACTTGTCCCACATCTAGGAACAGGCAATCAGTTGGTATACATCAGTGTAGCTCCACTGACATCAATGGATATTCCCATGGGCAGATCTAGAAATTTGAAAATGGGGGTGCATGTAGTGAAGTGCATCATCACATAAAAAAACCATATATTTTTCTCCAGTTCAAAATAAACTAGAAGCTTTACTGACATGCTAGGGACCTAAGGCTGTATTACAGTAAAAACTGCATGTGCCCACCTGGCCTTGAACATCCGGTCACATACAGCTCTGGCCCAGATGTTCAGTGGTGCTTGCTGTACCGTCCCCCATGGTCCATCAAGTAGGTGGCTGCTTCCAGTGTGGTCTTCCCCAGTCTCACCTGCCACAACTTTGAGTATTATTCCAGTGGTGGGTCTAAGCACTCAGAGTCTCTCGATGGTGGAACGTATGTCCGGCAGTCTTCTGCGAGGCTCCACCTCCCCTCTACCTCACCCTTACACCCAGCCTTGACGGGTCACTGCTGTCCTCTCGGCCAGGTTCCTGACTTTCGAGCCCCTGATTCCTTTCGTGGCAGGAGTGGTCCTCCCTGCTTAAAG